AAAGTTACTTCTTCATGTGTCGGGGCGCTATATAATTTCCCAATCAACAATCAACATTGTAATCTCATACCAGAGGCATTCGACCTTGAGTTTAGGCCAGAATAAGCATAATAAGCTACGCTGAAAAAAGCAAATATAAGCTACGATACGATATTTTCCTTCACTGTTAGCGTGAGGTATGAAAGTCAAAGGTTCATGTCGCTACCTAGATAAATATATAGAAATAACAGTAACCCGAGAGAAATTGGTCAACGTAGCTTGTACAAGACATAACTGTAGAGAGTTTGTCGAAACCGTGCTTACATTCACGTACACTATCCACAAATAAATACTTGGCAGATGAAAGTAAGAGGCTGCTGCGTCAAGGTTATAACGTAACGGTTCAATCGCACGCAATGTCAGGAGTGAGATAGCGCCGCAGTGTCTGTCGACCCTAAAATTTTACTTAGACCGAAGAACTTGCCCGTAGAAAGTTGTCACTTTCTTGTGCTTCGTGTCTTTGCTCTGTTGTATAAGGCAATAATTACTTTAATTCTCGGCTAGTTTTGTAGGTCGATTTGGTTAGCTGGAGCTAGAAATAGGTTGAAATTAAAAAGGATGTGGTACATTGCTCAACAAAGTCGAAGGAACAAGGGTGTATAGTATTTTCAACCGACTGTAAGAAAAGGAGGAAGTTCTCTAATCAATTGGAACCTTTTTACTTTTTTTGTATGTTTCAAGATAATTTGTTTACAATTATTTATATTATATGGATAATTACCTGCCTCCGTGGTCGAACAATTACCATGCTGGACTGCCACGCAGAGGTCCCGGGTTCGATTCCCGGGCTGGGAGAAATATCTGTATGGCCTACATTTATTTCTCTCGTGAGTTGCGGTGTAATTTGTGATTGTCTATGTGTGTGTCCATGGCACCCGCGATACAGGGTTTTCCTAGTGCGGGGCTATGGGAGTGTGCGTTATTATTATTATATACATTGACTTACAAAGAAATGGACGACGGGTCTAATACAAAAACCACGAAAAAAATGTCCCAAGTCAACCTATTTAAACGTAGTGACATTTAAAGGAATATGAAAAAGCTAAAACGTTGAATTTAAATTGTAATGTCATCGCAGTACTGTCTAATTTTGCTTGCTTCGCTGTCAGTCGAACAAACGAAGACTAAAGCGTGAATGACGCTCTGTATACGATTTTAACGCCCTATAAGCTCGGACACTTTTTAGCGCGGACCCGACGTCCATGTAATTGTAAGTCAATGATTATATATTATTATTTGTGAACCCATTTCGATGATTCTTTTTTTGTTGGAAAGAGGGTACCTCAGTATTGGTCCCATCTAAATTTGAAGACAATATTCCACCTCTAAGGGTGGCAAACTAGGGGATGAATCCGGTTTCATGCACTTTCCTTATTAATAGATGTAATTCCTCAAACTTTTGAGGTACCTAAGTTTTTTTAGTACCCTGTACTGAGATTATTTTCTTACGTCAAAAGGCGTTACTTAATATTTTATTTTTTTATAAGCGTCATCATTCTTCTCACTACTGTACCTTAAATATTTTTAATACAGCCTGTTTTCAAATAACATTTAAATTAAAATTTAGAAAACCCCCGATACAATACAATCAATCAATCAAATGTAATAATTTATTTACTACAAACATAGAGGTTGTTATCTTGACCCAAACACGTTTCGCTAGAAAATATTCTAGACATGCAAAAAATTGGTCGTCATATGATTACATTAAATTGTACGCATAATTAATTTAAAAAATTTTGTTACTAGAAATTTGCAATAACTCAATATTAATGGCCTGTCACAAAAAAGTTTCACTGTCTGTGATGATTATAACAATAAACTTAGATTTTAAATACTACGTAGGACTGATTTTTTTGTTACACTCGAGATTTTCAATAAGTCAATACGAATGTCCAGAAATATTTGAGTGATAATTATAACATTTGATCACAATTACTCAATAAATGAATATTTGTTTTCAACACTTTTTTTCCTCTCGGCTATACTTACCTTACAATAAATACGATGAGGTGATCCGTTGGGAGTTGCAAAATATAGACGGGATCCGTTGCAATTTAAAATTACCGGTGAATCAGGTTTGGGGATGAGAATCTCATATGGGAATAAATTTTAATAGCAGTAGAGATCCCTGTTGAAAGAGTTTGTTCAAGGAAGTACTGCCTCCTTACCTATTTCTGCCGTCAAGCAGTAATGTGAGCTCTTGTGAGTGCGTTCAGAAGGGTTAGGGTGCTGGTGAAATTATAGGCATATTATGAGACTTGTCAACTTATGTCTCCGGGTAACGGAGCACAGTGGCAGTGCCCCTCAGTGTCCTTTTATATGGCAGTGAAACGTGGTCCGTACTTGAGCGTCATAAGCAGGAGCTGCGTGTCACGGAAATGAAGATGCTGCGTTGGATGTGTGGAGTTTCACGGAAAGACCGTGTCAGAAACTCCCGCATCCGCGGCAGCCTTCATGTCCGTCACATTGCAGATAAACTGCAAGAAAGCCGCCTACGTTGGTACGGCCACATCTTACGGAAACCGGCATGCTACGTGGGAAACAAATGTCTGGCTATGCCACCTCCGCCGGGCCCCGGTAGAAGGGGCAGACCCAAGAAGTGCTGGCTTGACGTCGCCAAGGGTGATATGCGTGCCAATGGTCTCACCACTAAGGATGCCGAAGACCGTGCAAAGTGGAGGAGAAAAAGTAGGAAAGCGGACCCCGGGCTCCGCAGCAACCCTGCTGAGGACGCAACCGGGACAACGCTCAGATGAGAGAGAGAGAGAGAGAGAGAGTGGCAGTGCCCCTCAGATCTATGCGATTTAAAGCTCTGAGTGGTACTTGCAACTGTTACGGACAGGCGTGTCGCTTACTATCAGGCGCACGCCTTGCTCGTAAATAAATTGTAGAATCTGGAGTCATGTGTTTTCCATACATTTGCATTTTACATTTGCTGTGTCCGTGACCGAACGGATATCATGCCTGTCTGCCACGCAGAGATCCCGGGTTCTAATAAATATTTGTATGGCCTACATTATTTCTTTCGTGAGTTTGGGTGTAATTTGTGGTTATCTATGTGTGTGTCCTTGGCACCCGCGGCACAGGGTTTCTATAGTGCGGGGTTATGAGTGTGTGCGTCATTTATTTATTTATATATCTTATTAGTTTTTGACTTTTTTTGTCATCTTATTGTTAAGCAAAATCTATAAAGTTGGTACTGCGACACTTTATTGCTTGGAAACAACTTAAAATAAGCACCGTTTACATAAAATTCTTAAGTTTTCACATATTTGTTTTCGGGTCTAAATTGCGTGTATTTGTTTTTTCAAACAAATCAATGTTAAACGTTGATTTGTTTGCGGTTTAACGGTTCTTTACTGATCAGCCTTTACTGATTTGAAAAAACAAATATATGCTACTAGCTGGTGCTCGTGACTTTGTCTGCATAGAGTATGAACTTCGAGTAGCCTACTGTACTTTATTAATGCTATTTGTTTTGTTTATTTCTCACAAAACGCTAATTTCTCTAAAAAAAATATAATTTTCAGATCCTTTACTTGGTTTTCCATACAAACTTTCATTCCTAATTTCACCCCCTTTAAGAATTATTTTTGTGATAAAAATTAGCTCATATCCTTCTTCTAAACCCCATTTATTATTGTACCAAAATTCATTAAAATTGGTCCTGTGGTTTAGGCGTGAAAACGTAACAAACACAGTTACTTTCAAATTTACAATATGATAGAATTTGGATCTGAAAAAATATTTTCATTTCCGATGGAAAATAACGACTTAATAAACATAAACTATCAAATAGAGTTAATAAACACTTGACCCACAAGTTCAGTCGATCAAAGGAATGAATAAATATTGATTGATTAATTCAGAACCGTGTTTATTCATTAAGCAACACTTTTTCCGTAGTCATGATTTATGAATTCGTTTCACCTTGTTACTCGATCGTTTGTTACGGCACAGTGGCCAAATTCTGTTGATTATATCAATCACAACCAGATTTTACAAAAAAATTACACTCTCAGAATCTAACGTCAGTATACACCGGTAAAAACAATACGCATCATTGTACTGGTATGTCCATTTCGATACCAGAGCATCAGTACCAATAGCATAGTATAATAAAAGTAGGGCAACTCCCGTATGTTCGGCTTCTATCGGAGCGTAGAAGGGCGTAGGGTTGTTACATAGTTATTTTAGTTGTACCTACAGGTTGTAAACTTAATTTGATAATAAGATTTTAACAAAATATTTGTGTTACCTCACTAATTCTGCATTCTCAATAACACATCATGGGCATAGTTTGTAAAAAAGTCGACCGGATTCTTGCGTTGGAAAAAATTGTACCGTCGCAGTTCTATCTGAATTTCAATTTAGAAAAATTCATTTCGGGAGCTCCTCATCTAACACCGTTAGTGCTAACCGCTGTGCAAACAAAGCCGTCAAATAAACAAATAAATAAAAAATGTGTAACTTATTTGGGAAGAAAGAAAATTCTAATTTGAGACACTCTTGTTCAAACAACCATAAACACAACAATAAATACGTCTGTTAATTGATATACTTATTTTGAATGGCGCATGCGACAACCCGCGCTATGCAACGCGAGATTATGCGAATGTGTGCATCCATACACGCGCGCGGCGCACATACAAACCGCGTTGTATGGAACTCCGTACTCTACTTGGTCTTATTCTACTATGCCAATAGTTAACTGACATATTTTATTTAGTATTTACCTAAAGGACCGGTACTCAATGCGTTCTCCGCGACGTTGCCAGTTTACAACGTTCGGCTGCGGTCATAAATCATGTCGATTATTTAATTGCATTTAAATAATTCAACATAAGACAGGAGAAAGGAAGATACGTTTATTGTTACGAAATGGGTAATTAGTACCGGAATAATATACCGGTATACTATATAATTAGTTTACGATGATGATGACTGTGTGATTCCAGGTACTCACCAATTCTACCAGCGAACCCTGGTCGTGTGCGACCCCGAGCTGATCAAGCGCATTTGCGTCAACGACTTCGCGCACTTCGTGGACCGAGGTTTCTTCTTTAACAAGAAAGTCGATCCTTTGGCTGGCTCTGTGCTCTTTCTTAGAGGAAATGAGTGGAGGAAGCTGAGGGCCAAAATTTCGCCTATATTCTCGTAAGTATTGAAACGTATAATTTATGTTATTGAACATCATGCTATTTTTACTTTCGTGATAGTTTATTCAATTTTGCATCACTGTTTTTCCAAAATGAAAAAATGAAAACGCTCCACCAGTTTGGTGTTATTATTGACACAAACATCGAACAAACAAAGTAAAATTCGTTCGATTTGGCTGTTTTTTTCTTTTTGTTTATGATACCAAGTAAAGGGACCAACAAGTCGTGCGCTTGATGGTAAGCGACACGCCTGTCCATAGCTATTGTAGTGTCATTCAGAGCTTTAAATCGCAAAGATCTAAGAGGCACTGCCACTGCGCCTGTCACCCCGAGACAAGTCCCATGTGCCTGCAATTTCACCACCACACATACCATTCAAAACCGGAACGTATTATTGGTGACAGGAATAAGTAGATTAAGATTTATTTAGATCTATTTATTATCTTGTAAACTTTACATTATTATATACAATATATTGTATTACAAGAATCGTTACAAATAGTAATAAATGTTACATTTCAAAAATTTACTATATTAATTAATTTTTGATTATATGCATAAAGTTTATGTAATTTATTCATTTCTGTAAAATAATATTTACACATAATAATCTATAAATTACAACATATATTACAAGAGCATGTCCCTATATTCTTCAGTGGAATATTACGCATTATCCAACAAAAAGTCTTTCAGTCGACGATCAAATGTTTCATCATTAGGCTCATTTTTTAAGTCAACGGGTAGGTGCTCATAATAATAAGTAACGTGGCAGTATACTTCCCTGGACGGACTCTTTCACAAGGAGCTGTACACTGGCACAGAGGTCATTTAGACCATTAATTTGGAGCAAGAGCACAAAGAAATTGAGTTTAATTCAAATCATTTGGCATTGATCTGACAGGAAAATATTATTTACTTAAGTAAAAACAGATACTTGACTATTTAAGTATGTATAGGTATATTTATTAAAATAGTTTTAGCAGATCACGGAAAAAGTCATACTAAAGAAAAATCGGACACCTAATTAAGAAAACGATATCTACAACCTCTTCTTCTTCAAATGCATTCGATCTGGCTGGATTCGAATTAGCGATTGTTAGGAGACTGCTACCAGACCGAGGCTTAGTTAGGAGAGTGTTTAGCTTTGGTCTGGCAAACCGTTTGGAATCCGTTCAGATCGAAGGAATCTTTCGTTCGTTCTTTGTGTCGTCAACGATAACACCCAAACTATTGGAACTTGTTTTAAGTTGCTGCTTTGGCGACAAATGGTAAATATCCCATTTGTAGTGTTCCTTTGATTGCTACATTGTTTTTCAAGTATATATCCCAGCTGATTTCGGCTACAGCGACTGCTGTTATTTAGAATTAAAGCGGTTTTTCGCCCTTTCATGTGCCCTTGGATGGCTACAGCAGCCAATCTTATTGGTAATGGTAAACGTTCGCAAACAATGGCGATACGACACGTAAGGATACCGTAAACAAAGTAATAAATAAAAATGAAAATAATCTGTTTACAGACAACAGTCCAAGTTAGTGAGTTGGTAACATGACACACAACTATGTTAGTATTAGGATTAGAGATTAGTTCAGTGTAAATCACAGACTGCCAAATTACAGATATAAGAGAATAATTAGGTGGTTCACTGCCTCACACGTAGAACCTCCGTCCATCATCCATCCTGTCCGCAATCATCTTCAGGTTCTCGTTGCTGTTACCCCTCACCCTTCGAACTAACGAAGTGGACATTTTGCGCATGATTGCATAGAAATCGTCCACTGCAACATCTGCAAACATGCCAGACGCGCTGGAGAAATAGGGGAGTCTCAACAAAGCCCTGAAGGTGTTATTATATTGGACTTGCAAGGCCCGTACGATCTCAGTTAAGTCTAAGTTTGACCATAAAGCACTCGTATAAAACCTTTGAGCATTTTATTACTTGAGTATATTTTTGAGTAAACGATGGCTGCAGTTGTTTTAGCCTTGATCACGTTTCGCATCCAGGTCTGACAGTCTCTGCTCTTCAAATTTTGTTACCTGAGTTTTTCAAGTACTGTGATCATATCAAATCGTTAAACTATGTAGATGGACAGTGATCTATTGCACAAATCAGACCTCTCTTCTAAGCGCGAGAGAGCCTTGTGTGTTTTCCACCTAATGATTAATAGTGATTCATTTTCACATATCGACTGTATCTTATAAGACTTGGACCGCAAGCGACTTGGCAGTTTGTGGTGACGGTTTCCATAAATCAATATGGAACGTCTGCGGTGGAAGATTCTAGACCGCAAGGGTTGCCTACATGCGGAGCCCGTTTTGAATACTAAACGACTGCGATGGAAGAGGTCGTTGTAACCAACACGTGCGTTAGGTTTAGCAGTTGTGGAAGCCGTTAGCCGTTTTCAGCCGTTATTGTCCCACTACAGGGCAAAGGCCTCCCTTCCTTTATTCCACTCATCGCGATTTAACGCCGCTACAGGCTAAGATTTCATATACCTAAGTCAGCTGAAGTGGCAGTGGGCTGGCCATATCTATCGAAGAATCGACAACCGGTGGGGGAAGCGAGTTCTTGAATGGAGACCACGGCTCGGCAAACGTAATGTAGGACGCTCTCTGGCCAGATGGCGTGACGATTTGCGAAACGCTGGCACTAGATGGATACGACGAGTCGAGGACCGGGTGAAATGGCGCGCATTGGGAGAGGATTATGTCCAGCAGTGGACTGCGATAGGCTGATGATGATAAACCATATTTATCAAGATAATCATCGTAACGTAATGATAACTATCATTTAGAACGCTGAAAATGAACTATAGATTGTAGATACGCTAGCATAACTTGTGCAATTGGAATTAAGTGGCAATAATCGACGCATCCATCAACCTCAAAAACAATAATCAGGCTTAAAATTCGTGGTCTAATAACCACATTTATGTACGATGTCTTCAGCTTCATGTTATATCACATTGTTACGATGCGGCTCACGTGGCTTGTGAGTATTCTTGCGGTCAGGCGATCGGCTTCAACGGTTAATTAACAGGTTATAATCGTGATGGTAGTGGGCGATTTTGCGATAAGCATTAGTCGTATTTTGCCGGTCACGTGGCTGAAGAATGTTTATTTGACGTGATATAATTGTATTACAAATATTTTTTGAGGTTAACGGAAAACATTTCAACCGCCGTCTTTTTAACAGATGTCGCGCCTTTAGAATGAAACTCTCCTAATAACCTGATTTTAAAAATCATTGTGCTTTAGGTTATTAACCTGGAACTGACCCATTGAAGCTTATATTGCACATACTCACTGTATATGGATTTCTTTAATATGGTTGAAATTCCACTCCTGAGTCGGTATTTAATATTGAATCTGTTACTGAAAAGACAATACGCCATCACCGATGGCGAAAAAGTGATCATTACATTTTTCAAACACGACATACTTTTCTTAGAGGACACTGTTTCACAATTAAAACGGCTTAATCTTGATAAGTTTAGATCTTGCTTAGCTAGTGATAATGAAAGAGGCTAATTTGAGTTACCATGCCGGACTGCCAAGCAGATGTCCCAGGTTGGATTCCCGGGCCGGGAGAAATATTTATATGGCCTACATTTATTTCTCTCGTGAGTTTGGGTGTAATTTATGGTTGTCTATGTGTGTGTCTATGGCAACCACGACACAGGATTTCCCCAGTATGTTGAGTGTTAGTGGCTAAGTTGAGTGTGTGGGTTAAAAAAAATAGGTTAAATGACAACAAATGAGTTCAATAAAAAATGACTTCATAGTGGCGTTTTTGTAAAGTATATTTTAAATAGTTAAATATTAAATTCTCAGAAAAAATTTTGAGGATATGACGCTGAATGTTTATTTATTTACTCATTTTGTGTTTTTTTATTATATCAAGTGAAGGGACGAACAAGTTGTGCACCTGATGCTAAGCTACACGCCTGTCCATAACAGTTGCAGTGCCACTCAAAGCTTTAAATCGCAAAGATCGTGGTAAACTACCAGTGGGTGACTGTGGACGATGATGATGATATGTTACGCGTAGCCTGAGCTATAAAAATGCGCACTCAGGCAATGCGAAGGCAAAAAAGAACTGTTACTTATATATTATAATAGTTAATATGTGGTGTGCAGGAATATATTGCGGTCTTGGTGTAATAAGGTCACATCTGCATAATATGCTTCGTAGGGTTCGTATTATTTTTGTCACTTTCACGTGACAAACGCACTTTTGACGTATAACCACATAATGGTTTATATCAAGGATACGATATGCTGAGCGATATGATCGACTGCCTAGTTTTAACGTGTCTAATTTATTCAGAAAAAATTAACCTACTTCTAATTTTGATCTTCCAGGCCAAACAAACTACGTGGCATGTTTCCTTTAATAGAAAACACCGCTACCGAGTTCGTCTACCGCCTCCAGAACCTTATTAAAAACAATGCAGAAATTTTGAATAACAATGAAAGCTCTGTAGTAGTGGATTCTGAGAAACTGGTTGGGGGTTACACAGCTGATGCTATTGTGCCTTGCGCTTTTGGAGTGAAGAGTCATGTTATGGATAACGAGAATGATCCGTTCGCCACGGCCTTACATGCCTTTTATGAGATGTCGTGGTATAATATTTTTGAGAAGTAAGTATATTGCAAATTAAACTAATTTTTCGGATCTAAATTCATCAATGACACAGGCAGCTGTGACCACTGCATCTGTAAAGGGCCCAAAACATTGTTTTATTTGAAAAAAAAAAAAATCAATTATAATTAAGTACGTTTCAGATCCGAAAAAATTGTTTCATATCGAATTTTTATAACAATTGCGAAAACGTAAGAAGTTAAGCATTTTTAGTAGCAGTAGAGCTCCTTGTCAAAGAATATGTCCAGGGAAGTACTGCCAGTAATGTGAGCATTACTGCGTTCCGGTTATGAAGGGTAAGGGTGCTGGTGAAATTATAGGCACATGGGACTTGTCAACTTATGTCTCAGGGTGACGGGTGCGGTGGCAGTGCCCCTCAGATCTTTGTGATTTAAAGCACTGGGTAGTACTGTCACTGTTATGGACAGGCGTGACGCTTACCACCAGGCGCACGGCTCGTTCGTCCCGTCACTTGGCATTATATAAAAAAAGGGTATTCGTTAAAAGTTGGTATCCATTAAAATAGTTTCAAAGCGCCTAAACACAGGATACTCTGCACCTACCTACCATTTTTTTGTAATACCAAGTGATGGGTCGAAGTGGCGGTAAGCCATACGCCTACCCATGAAAGTTGCAGTGGCATTCAGAGTTTTGAACCGCAAAAGGGCCACTGCCACTGCACCTTCACTCTGAGACGTAAACTTCATAAGTCCCATGTGCTTGTAATTTCACCGCACTCCTACCCATCGAAACCGGAACGCACTAATGCTCACACATTACTGCTTGGCGACATGGCAGTACTTCCCTAGATGAACTATTTATTTCACAGTGAGTTCAATTGCTACTACATCTATCTCTACATTATGTGTCTCGCGAAGTTCAGAGTTACTTCCCCGGATAACTTTTCTAGCACTGCCACAAAGAAAACAGCAAATGGATTGTGTTTTCTAAGACGGCGTACTCTCCTCTAGCGGTTTGCTATACAGTTGTGGATATAGTTACAAAAATGTTTTCTATGTAGTTGTTCTTTCTCTAACGACGTCAGCAACCGCTATATTTTGACCCCTAGAAGACGTCACCTCTTTCCTAACATTAGTCCAGGAACCAAAATGAAGATATAGAACCAATTGAGTACGACAAAAAATTGAATTCGAACTGAGGTAGTAAGTAGAAGTCTTAAACCATTGACTTCTTTACTTAATTAATATTTTTGTGTATTTACTAAATAATTATATGAAAATGTTCCAGGACCATGCGTCAGTTTTGGCCGGCCTTCGTGCTCTTCTTCAGGATGAGGATCATACCGAAAAAGGCGCACGACTTCTTCTATAACATCGTCACCAGCGTGCTCAGGGCTCGTGAGTGTGGTAAGTGTACTCCATTTTTGTAATCTCTCGTATTTCATCATCATCATATACAGCCTCACTTCACCCACTGCTGGGTGTAGGCATTCAAGTTTCAGTGCCACTCCCCTCGGTCCCGTGCTAATCTCAGAATTGAAGTTTTCTCATGTTAACATTGGTATTGATAAGAAGTCTTTTTTTTAAAGAAAATATTCGATTGTACACTTTTTGAGTAATTTATTTGTATATTTATACTCAGGTTACAAAGACCCATACATAAACACCTTATAGACGAACATACATAGAATACAATAAAACACTTTATTTACCCTTATGGACCGCGACGTGTGACGCAACGTGTCCGGTAATAGGCGTCGGAAACGTCGGTACATAACGCCCCTGTCAGTACACGGACTCACTCGTTTGGGGGTGGGTCGGAGGACAATCGATCCGCCCTTCCGTTGGCGCGAAAGCCCTGTCGCAAGCTAGGGCGGCCGGGCGGTGTCGTGGTGAATGTTTACCTATCCCACGGCGCCGACTCAACCGGCGGAAGTTTTTAGTGGGGTAGGCCCTCTAGTCTGGAGGTCCCAGGAGGAGTCCCCACATAACCCTTGCGTCTCCCTGGGCTCAGGGGTATCTATAAAGATTCCCCCCTCGTCAAAAAAAAAAGGGTAGCCTTGGCTTTCCTCCGTATATACTTCGCAATATCCGCAAACTTTGTGGAGTAATGAAGCCGTGACACGTAGAACAACGTCGCCGGTACCTCTGGACGCAATAGATAATTAGGGCCAGTCAGGGCGGTGCCACTAAGCGGCTGTAACGCGCGATTACTGTAGTGAACACGCCCTTGCAAGTTTATTTTATTAAAGTTAAAATTGTTTCAGGAAACCAAGAGAAACGCGGCGATTTTATCGACATGATGATGGCGTTGCGAAACGACGCCGGCCAAGTCGCAGACGACAATGATGTTGAAATCAGTGAGTAACTATTAGTTATATCTAAAAAATCTGTCTTCTCGCCTTGAAAAGATCCAAGTTATAGCGTTTGGGGAATAAGTCTGCAGGTAGGAAATTCCACTCTTTAGCCGACCGCCATATAAATGTGGAAACGAAATGTGTCGTATGAATCCTGGGTATATCCACAACATAGGGGTAGAATCTTTTCGAAATTGGCACGCTTGTCGATTGAGTCCAAATTGGCCAGTTGGTATTTAGCAGAGCCATCCCATAAGTGGCTGCAGTACGCCATACACAACCGGACTTGCTTGGTACCGCTGAAGCATGTCCTGGTGTGAAGTAAGGCTTCACCTTGGAAAGGATGCCAAGCTTCCTAGGTCTTAAATAGACACCCTACAGAAGCGTTCTTTCACTCGCTCTGAGTATTACAAAGATTCCTTTACGATTAAGGCTGCGACATTGTGAAATGATCTCCTATTTGAAATCCGACATTCTAAGTCGCTACCTATTTTCAAAACTGGAAAATAAATATCTTCTAATACGGTCCTAGTCTGCAATGTGTATATATTTATTATTAAGTATAAGTTTATTTAGGTATATTTATATATCTATGTATGTCTATGTAAATTATGTAAGTTTGACATTAACATGATTTTTCGCTTCATATTTGACATTATTAACTTTTACTAATTTTTATTATATTTTTTCTTTGCATGTTTACTAGTTTTTGACAGTTTTTAATTATAATATTTTGTACATTATGCGACCACCACTAATTATATTTGTATGTTTCGACGAAACTGGTTGTAGTAGCACTGTTAATGTATTGAACTGATCTGACGAACTTATTGTACCTACTTCCACAAATAAATCATTCTTTATCTTTATCTTTTAGGTTCTATATATATATCGTTATTTATTAAATATTTGGTAAATTACTATGTGTTTCTATTTTATTTGTATAATTGGCATACTACGTCTCCCGCTCCGATTAGCTCTCCTCTACCTCAAATGTTGCCTGGAAGAGATAGCTCTTAGTGATAAGACTGCCTTTGCACACATTACTTTTAAGTTGTTTATGTACTATTCTTGTTCTTGTGTGTGAGTACAATAAAGTGTTTATCTATCTATCTTCCTGGCTGCGTTTTTGGCCATGCATTCAATGTATTTGCCGAAGTTCAGATTGGACGACAGGTCCATTCCAAATAGGTGGAGACGGTCGGCGGTTGACTACATTATCTCGTAAATGTTATCTGTAAAAATTTAACATAAAGGGCCCGAAACGTTGGTTTGTTTGAAAAAACAAATACACGCAATTAAGATCCGAGCAAAAAATAGTTTAATTTCCTAAATATTTAAGTGCCTACTTAATAGTTTGATTCTAACCTCTGTTTGTACCGTACGCTATTAGATATACTTTATATAAACAATTTTTGATTAAAAAAGAGGAAGACTAAAAAAGTCCACTAACTTTGTCCCAATAGCGAAAAACTTGGACCCATTTATCTCGGCCGAACTTGCTACATTAGTACACTTATCTGACCCTGAAGTTCCAGATTTTGTAAGTTAAAATGAGTTTCTGGGTTGGATTAAATTTTTTGAAATTTATTTACATAATATTTAGATAACATTGGGGTGCTTGTTATCTCGGATAAGATCGTAAGATGAAAGATGGTCGCATCGTTTCGCCTTAAGTAATTTTAGCGAGAGCTCAGAATCGCATGTAGCGGTGTGAACCACAAATACAGCCACAAATATAAAATAAATATCATTGCCCCGTAAAGGGTGAAATGGTTAGAAAAGTAACAATTATTAACTTTAAAGTTATTCAAATTCAATTCCAAAAATATTTTATTTATATTTCATAGGTGAAAATTACACTTGAAATCGTCGTAATTGAACAAACACGAAACAACATGCTTCCACATTTATATGGCGAATGGCTATGGAATGGAATTCCTTACCTGCACACTTGTTCCCTGAACGCTATAACTTATACTTAACTCGGATAGTACTTAGTGTTTTTTTATGAAAGAATATGTGCGCCTCGATCTCATCTGATGGAAAGTGACGATGTCGGCCATGGAGCGTACACCCATAAATAATGCCTATATATACTCTTGCCAAATTCTATTGTATTTACATTACATTGTATTAATTCGATACCATTCTATTGTATGTACAATACTTATAATATTTGTAATTAATATGTATAGCATAACGAGATTTATGTAAGTTGTGCAACTAGACAACAAATCTATTCCCGTTTTCCGTCTGACATCCATCCGTCCTAAGCAATTACATAGGGCGCACTATAAGTTTCCTGAACTGGCCACTTACATAAACAATATTTAAAAAGTAATTACAACATTTGAAAATGGAACTCTTTGCCTGTAGAATACAGTTTGTTTCATCTGACTGTCACTTGTTTTTACATTGTGGCGTCATTTTAGAAATTGGTTGTCTACATCACCATGGATTTAACTCGTGAAAATTTTCGTAGTATGATTTTCTACGACTTTAAGCGTAATTTACCAGCTCAGCGGAGCTTCGCTCGGCTTCAAACTGCTATTGGCGATGAAGCACCACGCAAGACGACTATTTATAGCTGGTTTGCAAAATACAAACGCGATCGTGTGAATCTCAGTGACGAAATTCTTGACGGTCGCCCGTCCACTGCTGTGAACAACAAAAACAGATGCTGTGCGCCGCATGATCAAAACAGACAGGCATGTGACAAAGCATGAGATTCGGACATTTTTAGGCATAGGCATGTATCAAATACAATCAAAACTACACAAACATTTGGGTGTGAAAAAACTGAGCTCTCGGTATATCTCACACTTTGACTGAGGCTCAAAAAACGTATCGCGTCACTTGGCGCAATGCCTTGGTGCAGTGCTTACCAGATTCCACGAAGGCGCGTCAAATTTGGTTTGGGACATATTAACAGGTGACGAAACATGGATTTATAGTTACGATATCAGAACAAAGCAGCAATCGAGCGTATGGGTCTTTCAAGATGAGCCGAAACCAACCAAAGTGGCGAGCGTGCAAAGTGCCTCTAAGCGGATGATTGCTTCTTTTTTTAATAAAACTGGACACGTGGCTACTGTTGTTTTGGAGAATCGTTGTACTGTGAATAGTGATTGGTACATGACCATTTGTTTGCCGGAAGTTATTGACAAACTCCGTAAAAATAGCCGTAAACGCCGTAACATCTTGCATCACGATAATGCCAGTTCTCACACGGCCAGACAGACAAATGAATTTTTGAAGGTGAACAACGTTGACCTCATGAGCCATCCCGCATACACTACCGACCTGGCACCTTGTGACTTTTATTTATTTCCAAAAATTAAGTACCTACCAGTTACGCGGTCAACGATTTTAATCACCTGAAGAAGAGTATGAAAAATACGTTTCAGAGATTATCACGGAGGAGTGGCATAAATGTTTTCAAAATTGGTTCATTCGTATGAAAAAGTGCATTAACGCTAACGGAGAATATTTTGAGAAACAATAAATTTATTTCTGACCATTTATAGTATTTTTTTCTTATTCATTCTGGAAACTTATAGTGCGCCCCACGTATTGTAACCTTAACCACCATGTTTTTTGCAAATAAATAGGTTTGATTTTATTTAATTTGTGACTTTGATAAGTCTACTGGCAAGAACAGTCAGTTTATTTTTAACCGATGTCAAAAAAGGGAGGAGTTTCTTAATTCGACTGTATATTTTATTTGAACGTATGTTACGCGATAATTCCGGCCGTTATTTGTGAACCGATTTTGATGTTTTTTTTTGTTGGAAAGAGGTACATCAGTAGTGGTCCCATTTAAATTTGAAGAAAATATTCCATCTCCAAGGATGGCAAACTAGTGGAAGAATCCGGTTTTGCGCATTTTCCTTCCAATTAGACTTGGCAAATAGTTGTAATTCCACGGAGTTTCGAGGTCGGTTTTTTTAGTAATCTGTACTGAGATTATTACTATTCTTCGTATTAATGTTACCTCTGTCACAATTTAATAAAACACATACCTATTATTTATTTAATTTGGGTTATTGGGTCATTTCTTTTTTTTGGTTATCTATTCTTTGGGTTTTGTGAAATTTCTCCGATAATAGATACAGGTTTTAATTGAGGACGTTCTAAAGAACGAACAAGAGTACTTACCTTTTCGTGTATGAAAGTATAGGTACGTGTTTGTGTTTGAAAAGATGTGTGTCAGGGTCGTAGTGAATGGATGGTTGTGGTTTCCTTCTACCCTGATCAGAAAAGGACGTAAAATGTGTGGTGACAGATTTTATCAAAATGCCAGAAAGTGACACATCAATATTCTTTAAATGAAATTCTATTCTTCCAGCGGATATGGTGATATCAGCAAATGCGTTCATAATTTTCCTGGGCGGTTTTGAGACTACCTCTTCAACCCTAGCTTTCCTGCTACTGGAGCTGGCGGCCAAACATCAAGTACAGGAGAAGATGCGCCAGGAGATCAGACAGGTGCTGGAGAAACATGATGGACAGATCAGTTACGAGGTGCTCCAGGAGTTGACTTACATGGAGATGGTGATACAAGGTTGGCATTTTTTTTTATATCAAACGACGGATTGAACATCGTGCGCCTGGTTGTGAGCTACACGCCTATCCATGACAGTTGCAGTGCCACACAGAGCTTTAAATGGCAAATATCTGAGAACTACTGACACTGCACCCTGGGACATTAGTTGACAAGTCTCATGTGTCTGTAGTTTCACCTCATCGAGTATACAGGGTTACAGGTTAAGTCGACCTGAATCCTTTAAGGGGTAACAGTTTGCATCATTTCTGACTAATTTCACTATGAAACACCATACCCCAAACTAAACCGTTCTCATGTTATAGGACTTTGAAGTTTTTTTTTAAAAAAGTCCAATTTTTTTTTATAATGTCCCATTTTTTGTGTCTTGTGCTTGTTATCATTTCGTTTTTGGTATTTTTGTGTAGTAGATTAATAGATTTAGTACTCAAAATACCAAATTTGCAAGTAATTGTACCAACCGCGCCGTAGTAGACGAGTTTTTGTTAAAAATAAATAAATAAATTGCTATTTTTTTAAATTCTTCCTTAGATATTGAAAAAAAAGTCTATGACAGTTGTGCTGCAGATGTACTTAAAAATATCTACGGTTCTTTAGCTTTCCAAAAAGGTATTACAAGCTAGGTTATTATTAGAATACCTAGACAAAAAGTTGGATGAAAAGCTACCAGGTAGAGTAGTAAACAATAGGGGTACCGTTAAGTTACTACCTGCGCCTATTGTCCTTTAAGGGATTGCGGTGAGCAGACTCATTTTGTTATTGTGTTTGGTTAGTCTGCTTACGCGATTCGTCCGTTGTAGATGCGATATTCAGTGCTCTTCGTTTTTTACTCGACTTGGCTTGTTTTCCTGGACTGTTTCTTCCTATTCGTGACTGTGCTTGTTTACTGGACTTTGATTTGTGCTTCTGATTTGGAACTGTTGAAGATGACGACCTACACGAATGAAGAATATGCCGATATGTTAATTTGTTACGGGTACTGCAATTGTGTATCCCTACGAGCTCGTAATGAGTACATAACACGTTATCCCGGCCGCCGAGTACCGGATATTAGTGTATTCGAGGGAGTTTACCGACGACTTAGAGAGACTGGCTCTGTTTTGAGAAGACGAACAGACCTAGGTAGACCACGTGTTAATGATGATGATGAAGAACAGGATAATGAGATAGTTCGACGGTTTCGCCGGGATCCAACTACTTCAACCAATATTATTGCCCGAGAACTTGGACTCTCACAATGGAAAGTGTGGCATACGGTGCATACTGCCGGTCTCTACCCCTATCACTACACGCCAGTACATCATATCGAAGAAGGAGATCCTGTGAGAAGGCTGGATTTCTGCCGATTTATGCTGCACGCCGATTTGGACGATCCTGAATTTTTGAGAAGAATCTTATGGACAGATGAGTCAAAATTTGATCAAGATGGCATTACCAATTATCATAACCTTCATTATTGGTCTCCGAAGGCACATTTAAATCCCAATAAAAAGCAGGTAAAGGGATCACAAAGACGATTCAGCCTCAACGTGTGGATGGGAATAGTTTCCAACTATTTAATTGGGCCTTTCTTTCTGCCTGAACGTTTGGATGGAGAAACATATGAAAACTTTTTGAGACAAGATCTATCTGATTTACTCGACGATATACCACTTGACCTTATACGAGACATGTGGTTCCAACACGACGGATGCCCCGCACACTACAGAAGAAGTGTCAGAGAGTGGCTAGACACTAATTACCCAAACAAATGGATCGGAAGAGGCGGACCCACTCCATGGCCAGCTAGGAGTCCAGACTTGACTCCCATGGATTTTTATGTTTGGGGACACATGAAAAGTTTGGTGTACAATGATACAAACCCAATAATATCCGTCGATGTTTTGAGACAAAAAATTATTGATGCCGCAAACGAAATTAGAAGAATCCTAACCACGAGTGTAGTGAAAAGTGGCTTAAGACACAGAATGCGAGTATGTGTGCGAAACAGAGGTCAACATGTGGAACATTTATTATAGGCTTCCTGTTAAAAAATAAATAAAGTATTTAATTGTTACCATTTGTATTGTTTTCTGACCCAAGTTAAATTTAAAAGTTTACTACTACCTGCCTTTCATCAAACTTTTTGTCTAGGCATTCTAATAATAATCTAGCTTGTGATACCTTTTTAGAAAGCTAAAGAACCGTAGATATTTTTAAGCACATCTGCAGCACAACTGTCATAGACTTTTTTTTTCAATATCTAAGGAAGAATTTAAAAAAAAGCAATTTATTTATTTATTTTTAACAAAAACTCGTCTACTACGGCGCGGTTGGTACAATTACTTGCAAATTTGGTATCTTGAGTAATAAATCTATTAATCTACTACACAAAAATACCAAAAACGAAATGATAACAAGCACAAGACACAAAAAATGGGACATTATAAAAAAAAATTGGACTTTTTTTAAAAAAAACTTCAAAGTCCTATAACATGAGAACGGTTCAGTTTGGGGTATGGTGTTTCATAGTGAAATTAGTCAGAAATGATGCAAACTATTACCCCTTAAAGGATTCAGGTCGACTTAACCTGTAACCCTGTATAACCAGAAATAGAGACGAAATGTCATTTAATTTGTTTGAAAACTATTCTGCCATATCATTACTGTGACAACTGCGCTCCGATTGGCTAACCCGAGTTCGAAACAATTGACGGGTGTCGTCAGTGGGTGTCGTCAATTGTTTGGTGTCGTCAATTGTTTCACTTCAAATCGACCAGTTAACTTGAGCTTTGCTATAATGGACGAAAATTGCAAAATTACATATGTAATATTTAATTAGCGATATAATTTGATTCCGTCTCTTTTGTAATTAGATGTTTTGCTGTTTTTCCCCACACCACCGAATGGAATAGGAATATAGAATATTTTTGGAATATACTGACACGTATTAACAGGTCAGTTGTTGGCGTTGTCTATATTCCAGTGCAAACGAGAGTTGATATTTATAAGTGATGTATCACTGATGAGTTCCCAGGAATCTGTGGCTCTTATTTCGTCTCTATTTCTGGTTATATACTCGATGTTTCACCTTAATGCTCACTTTACTCCTTGATGGCAGAAACGGGTAAGGAGTACTTCCCTGGACGGAGTCCTTAACAAGGAGCTCTACTATTACTGTTTGACAATTATTTATGTATTTAAAGTATCCGCACTGGGCAGTAGGAAAATGATTATTTCTCGACGTCTAAGTCTCGAGAAGTCAACGGCTCGGAACCCGTACGTCCATTCGGAATGATTAGTATAATACTTCTCACAGGAAATCAGGAATCTCAAAGGAACTCAGGAATGCGTGATGACACGGAGATTACTACTACTTCGGGCTTTTCTTCAGTAGTCATGTCTTTGCGTAAAAGTGACTAAATGATACGTAAAGTTAAATTGTATGTCCCCTGCGTTACGTATTGTTTGAGCCGCCCCCAATCTCCGCTACTTCTCGTACTTTTCACTATTTTTTCACTTCACTGGGTCACCAATGTAAGTTATGTTGTACTATGTATGCTATGACGTAATCAGAAGGAGGGTGAATAAAGTGAAAACATAAAAATTCCGTTCATGTAAGTTTCGCTTCTATTAAAATAGTCTGGTTACATACAGTAGGTACAGTATTTAATACGTAAAACTACAGTGCACGAGTTACCGTAAGGAAGAGCGGTGAGCGACTGGCCTTTGCCTGCTCGGAACTGCGGAATGTTACATGACAAAACGTGACATTGGATGAATATAGGTAGGTTACTCCTACAAAACTATTTCTCCGGATTTAAATTGCGTATATTTGTTTTTTAAAACAAATCAACGGTCACGGTTGATACTAAACCTGTAAAGGGTTCGAAACGGCGTTGGTTTGTTTGAAAAAACCGTGAAAAAAAAAATGCGCGATTTAAATCCGGAAAAATAGTTTCATTTCCTATGTGTAACAATCGCGAAAACCTAAGGGTCGTATTCTAGAACTCTACTCAATGCTCAAGTCAGTATTTGAGTATGGTTTAAAGCACTCGAAATCATACTCAAGTCCCTGCCATTAGGGTCGTATTTCCAGTGCTTGTGTTTCCAGTGCAATCCTGACTTGAGCATTGAGTAGAGTTCTAAAATACGAACCTAAGAGTCTTCTCATTGAAGATGAAGGGGGAACATCATGACTAAACACGTGCAAAACGTATGAAGTTTAGAATAATAACGAAAATTCGTCACAACTCTAGTTTTTAATGTCATCATGTCGTCGGACATGGTGCATTCCCTTTTCGATTTTCATCTATTTTTAAAGATTTTACTGCTTCACTTCACTTTTGATACCCTTTTTATGTCATAAAAGTTATAAATATTATAAAAATATACTTTTAAGAATTTTTTAAATTGCATCGATATCAAACGTGTGACATATCATGTAAAAGTGTTGTGACTATAAAACTCAATTCAAAAACAGCACCTTCCATTTGTAGTTATGGACCATTCAGAACTGAACAGGTAATACGAGTACATATATACCTATCTGTAACATTAAAGCTAATGCCTTCGATCATATATAGGTATACAAACGCGATTAGTTATTTAGAATTTTAGAAAAGCGCATAACGGGGCGCGACTTGCGCTAGAGCTACATAAAGTACAAGGGGTGTGTAATTGAAGATATAACAACATTTGATATAATTTCTAAGGATATTATCACTCACTGTATATAATCAACAAAAGGCATAATTTCAATGTGTATAATGAACCTTCAGTATAACAAACATTAGATATAATGATTATGTTTATATAAAATGAACATTAAGCC